CGCATGTGCAGGTGACAACTCCCCCACTTTAATATAGGATACTTACATTTTAGCATCTTTTATGGTCCTACATGTGAAGTAACGTTGGACCTGAGCTTGATTACATCCATATATTCCAACCCATGTAAAGATTCCACCAAAGCATACAGACCACACAGTATGCCGTACAGTCGGGTCTGGATCAAAACTATAAATCAATCATATGTAGCGTATTCACTCTATTAGAATCACATCGTTCAAGTATTTACTCTATTAGAGATGCATCTTAAATAGAAATGCATATAAACCCCATTTGCTATTGTTGTAAAGGGCGACAGTCATCGTGCCGCGTCCTGTTCGATATGGAACACTCATAGCGGCGTATGGAACACTCATAGCGGCGTATACAAAACATGTAAAATACATTGTTCATTTACATGAAAATCGAACATGTGCTGCGTGACGACCACCACACTTTAATAATTGAAATAATAATAGAAACACCTCGAGTTATTTAAGTATTAAAGTGCACACTAATAGAGCAAATACAGTATGGCTTTATATTTGTTATGGAACTGACTATTGCTGATAACATTAAAGTTAAATGCATTAAATTTAAACCCAGTGATTATGCAAATTGTCTTCACAAACCAGTGAAATTTCAACATACCAGAAAACATAAGATTTTAAAATTTAGATACTGTAAGGGGGTAATTATTCACTGGGTTTTAATTTAGCTTATTTCGCTGACTGGAAAATGCGCTAAATTAAAACCCAGTGAATATGTAAAATTTAGCATAGAACACATTATCTAAAGGACGAAACCGTGAATTTAAAACCCACTGAATATGCCTGAAATAGTAAATCAGTGAAATTTAAACCCAGTGAAAATTAGTCATTTTACAGTATTAAGTAAAAATACCTTTTCAACATTAAACAACTGTGTTCTCCACAGCTACATGCTAGATATGAGATCAAAAATAAATGTGTTTGTCAAAATTTTCTGAATGTTTCAAAATTCATAGTGGCAATACTCATTATTATTCTCTTACTTAAAGAACTCAATTCTCTTGCCCTCCTCGCAAATATCCATGATGTTAGACCATCCACCAAGAAGAATAGAAGCCTGGATGATGACAGCTAAAAAACCTGAGAACATAACCAGTAATTGGAATGTGTCTGTCCAAAGAACGGCTTTCATACCACCCTGTTTGGAAAAATCATACGTCATATCTTAAAATATCAAACAAAATTATGTGTTTGCATAATATACATAATAAATTACTTTATTTTAATTTGGAATTTTTTTTTTCTTATTTTCACATAGTAATGCATCAGTGGAAATATCTTTTTCTTATATTTTATATTCAACTCATCAAAAATCAGTGAAAATATACAGCCAAATTAATTTCCCCTCAAATAAGGTATTTTACAGTATTTATACAGTATGCTATTCAACTAGTCAGAATGTTCCAGTACTGAAATTTATATTCATTAAATACCATGATAAAGTCAAACAACAATGATGAAGTCAAATCTCATGAATTGTCATCAGTTTTTTATATCATAAATGCCCCCAACCCCTTATATGGATCATGTGACAAAAAAACCCTTACTAAATTTTGCTGTGCTGAGAAAAGAACACAAAGACATATATATACTCAAAAGTCAATTTTTATAACAGGAACTTGAGGAAAAAATTGTCATTGACTTTTGGGATACATAATCTTTTGAGTCAGATGATGTATACTAGCAGTTCAGTTCTGAGTATAGAGCTCGCCTGCCATAATTTGAATAAGTGATTCTCAAAAAGTTTATGCATTGTGTAATAACTGTCCTAGGAATTTTATAGCAGATTTCATTTGAAAATTAGTGGACGGTCACCATTTCCCATAATTAAATATATGCAGAATATAATAATTTCCCCCTATATATATTTATAGACTGTTCTTTACAGTAAATACTTTAGACATCAATGTCACAGTGCTCAACTTCGAAAAAAAATACAATCTAATAATGAGACCAAGCAACGACTAGAATCAAAATTGTGACACAAATAACACTTACTATTGTTGTATAAAAAGTACAAACAATGCCGCACGCAAGGATTGACCCCCATAAACTGAAACCAGTCACTGAAATTAAATCGACATTAGAAGAATTCTGATAAACAATATAATAGATTTGCGATAATATTAGATTTGTACTGGTGACCAGGCATATCTACAGGTCCAGATGGATGGATGGATGCATGCACGCACACACGCACGGACACAAAGACACACAAGGGTCAAAACATAAGTCCATCAGACTGTGTCTGAACAGGGACTAATAACATTAGATTTGTACTGGTGACCAATACTACACCATTATTGGATGTGTACTGGTGAACAAAGATGTAACAATATTAAATTTGTATTGGTGACCTATGATGTACCAATATTAGATTTGAATTGGTTACCAATACTGAACCAATATTAGAATTGTATTGGTGACCAATACTGAACAATATTAGAATTGTATTGGTGACCAATACTGAACAATATTAAATTTGTATTGGTGACCAATGATGTACCAATATTAGATTTGAATTGGTTACCAATACTGAACAATATTAGAATTGTATTGGTGACCAATACTGAACAATATTAGAATTGAATTGGTGACCAATACTGAACAATATTAGATTTGTATTGGTGACCAATACTGAACCAATATTATATTTGTATTGGTGACCAATACTGAACAATATAAGATTTGTATTGGTGA